AAATATTATATAATACAATATCACAGATGCCATAGATATATATTATAGATACCATATACATTAGGGTGCCACAGTAGTGCGTACTTGAAAAACATATGAGTAGATGCTCTAGTCTTCTCTTACCAACCTTTTATAAAATCTTTCAAGCGAATTATTGCATCTTTAATGCATATATGAGTAGTCTCCCCTTGTAGGTGGGCTATTCTATAGTACTGCTACAATTTTAAGGGAACTTCTGTTCCAAATAAAGCCTGGGAGATGCTTGAAAGTCCAGATCATATAATAGCATTTCTGGGTCAGGTTTTAGAAATACTGTTAAGAGGATAGGATATATGTTCTCACATTGACTACTTAGAAGAAACCTCACAGACTATGTTAAATTATTTGCTTTGGGAGACCTAGAGGATCCTGGGTTTGATTTTGTTAGATACAAGGCATTAGTTCAGTCCCTGTCCAAGATTCTTTGAAGCTTTGGTTTTTCATCCGGTTGTACTCAGTACTCTTTCATGAAATTCATTAATGAACCTTCTTAAAAGACCTGTTTCTGTAAAAAAGCTGTCCTGCACTGACAGACCCTGAAGCAGTCTAACATTGTTTCCTCTAATTTGGTTTATGTTACTAGGTATCTGTATAATCTTGGAAGTTAGATGTTCAGTGTACTTTAACTCTGTTTCAAATGAAGAATGCAGAATTTGGAGAACAGGTGCGTGAAGGTGGGAAAGTGAGTCAGCCAGCCAGTCTTGTAGCAGAATGCAGCCAGGACATTGCTGCATAGCTGTGTTTATCAGAATAAAAAGAAAATGCTTATATAAGCCGTATTGGCAGAATACTTGATGCAACTACTGCAGGTATACTGGCAAAAATTATGCTGTGGTGTTTTTTTGTTTGGGGCTTCTGAGCAGGTGGTTGGACTAGATCACCTCCTGAGGTCCCTACTAAGCCGAATTACGCTGTAATCCTGTGACTCTGCATGTGTACATACATATGTGTATAAACACATGCAGTAATGGCACATGGTTGGATAAGAGGAGGAGAGATTTTACAGAGCGCTAACACAGTCTGTGTAGTTGTGCTGGACTGGTGAAATGGTGGACTTCCTAAGCTATACAGAGGGCTTGTATTTTCACGCTCGTGCTAGTACTATTACTCATGCTGGCGAGATTGAAGTTGGCATGCGAATGTGCCTGTGCTTGTCATACTTGTTGCTGCTTTTGTCTGTGGAAACGGGCTTAGGGAGGGGAAGAGCAATAGATTCTCTTCCTGATTTGTCCACTTATAGGTGTTATCTTTGGAGAGGTGATGATGGAGTCCATATGCTGTCTATTGTATTGTTACCATCTGCTGCCCAGCAGAGATGACTCCCCATAGAAACCAGTATTTATTTTTAAAAAAACAATTATTCACGCAGGCAACTTTCAAAGCTTCTAAACCTTTTTCCCCATTCAGTGAAAGATCTGTGAAAGAACAGGGAGTAACAATTGCTTGTTTTGCTCAGGAGTGGTAAGAGTATTAGAAATGTTAATTTCTACCATAATAGAAACTTAGCTGGCAGTTCTGCTGCAAAAATTTATTGGTATGTGTTGGGGGTGTGTATACACACTTTTGTATAAAATATCTCTATCCTTTTCTATACCTGGAGAAGGAAGATTGGCATTATTGCTTTACATAAATTTACCTTTGTTTAACAAGTAGTCTTTTAAAGTTTTGTTGTTTGTTGGTTGGTCGTGGTGGGTTTTTTTTTAATTATTATTAGTTGTAGGATAAATATTTCAGACTGCTCTACAGGAAGACAAGGAAATTGAGAAAGGTAAAAGCAAATCTGTTTGAAAATGCAGTCTTTGTTCTAAGGCCGTGTTTTAAGTTATGTAGCGTTCTAAGTCTGAAGCCTTTCCAAGGGATGTTATCTTAATATTAGCCATAGTTGGTCACAAATATTTGCCCTTATCCTGGAGTGTCCTACAGTCCCTTGTCAGCCTTGGTGAATAACAGAAGCTGTAAAGCTGACTTTGCTTGCCGTGAGAGGATTTTCTCAGAATAGAAAGATGTGACTCTTTCCTCTAGTAGTCCTGCACAGTTTGTTCTCCTCTGATGCCCCTCTGTTTCACCTCTCCCTCCCAGGGATGTGCATGGAGTTCTGCGCTGTCCAGCGGTGCCCGATCTCTCCCTATGCTCCAGCACTCCTACTTAATGGTGTTAGGAGTTGTTGAAAGTTCAAGTAGCCTTTAAAGCTCTGATTCACCTGAAGTACCTTGGGGGGGGAGAGTTTGGAGGCCTGGCTTGTTTTGTTGATGACCATTAAGTGGTTGTACAGGACTGAGCGATGTGCATTTCCACTGAGCAGCCCAGAGGAATCTTCTGCTCAAGGTTTCTCCCCAAGCAAAAGCCAACTATTGCCCTTAGAGTTCATCAGACATTTGTGAAGGGTTGGATTAGCTGACTATATCTGTGATTAGATTGCTTATCTTTTATCTGTCTGGAAGTGTTTAACAGGTTTCATCTCAAATTAACAATAGCTATTAGTTAGCATGAATGATTCCTGGAATCCCAGGCTCCAAGACTGTCACAAAATGAAGCTAGTTTTCCTGAAGATAGGTGTTTTAGAGTTAATGGAAAGTTTTGCCAATCCTCTCTCTTAACTCTGTTTCTTGGAGGGGGGTGTATGTCTTGGGGTGTTTCTTGGGGGGTGTGTGTATGTCTTTTTATTGTAAATGGAGAATGATCACTTAATTATTCCTTGTTGCAACTAATGTAGTTTAGGAACATGTTATGTTGTTAGCTAAATGACAATTTGCAGCTTTTCTAGTAGCAGGAAAAGGCTGGGTGACAGTTGCTGCCACGCATGTGCCTACAATATTTTTTTGAAACACAGATTCAGAATTTTTAAAATTATTTTTTAGTCTTAACAATGAAAAGGTGGCAGGAACTGATGCAGTAGTGTATGGCCATATGGCTATCTCTGGGCAGTTTGAAGATTCACTTTTTTTTTTCCCCCCCTAACTAAAAGCTTTATGAGCACTTGAGGCCTACAATCTTTTTCTTTCCCAGTATAATAATATTTGTTGTCCCAGATTTAAGATCAAAATCCTGTCCTTTTTCATTTGCTTTGATTATGCATTTGTTTCACTGGATCTATCAACAGAAGAAATTTTTTTTTTTTTTTTTTGTTTATTTTGTGTGGTAGGGGGGGGGGTTTTTTTGTTTTTTTGGGGTTTTTGTTTTTTTTTTTGGGGGGGGGTTGTTTGGTTTGTGGGGGTTTTTTTTGTAAATGCAGCATAGTAGCAATGAGCTCATTGTAGGCAAAGAGAAAATTCATCATTCTTTTTGCTTTAATCTCCTGCTCAGGAATAGCAGTGTGTCTTGTGTATATTTGCAAAATCTAAAAATCTGACTCCACAGATCAGCATGAATCTGCCATACTACTTCATGTTCCCTCCTCTTGTGATAGCACAAATGACAGCATGGTATATGTGAGCAGTGAACTGGTTCTGTTGAAAACAAACCTAACAAAAACCTGGTTAATCAGTTTCCTGATTCATCTCACCATATTGTAGAATAAATTCTGGTTGTGGTAGAAGGGAAGAAGCAACAGTAAGGGCCCAGTAAGGCAATGAGATTGTCCATTTTGGGCTGGGTTAAAGTAGTAATATTTTTTTTCCCAGTGAAGATTCTTGCATCCATTTGCAAAAATACTGGTGTAAAGATGTTTTCTGGAGTTTCGTGTTGATACTTGAGTATTTTATTATGTAGGGTAATCTGTGCCTTGGGTTGAATGTCTCCTTTTGCCAAAACTGTCACTTCTTTTGCTGGTTCTGAGTTTTGGAGTGCAAGAAAGATCTAAAGCAAAGCATCTCTTTCGTATTTTCAGATGTTGCTGTTGAATCAGAGGACTTTTTTGGGCAGGCATTTGTTGTTCAAATATTGATTTGTGCAATGAGTTGCCCAGTTTTGACAGTGATAATGTATTTAATTATGTTGTTCTGCAGAGTGTGGTCTGTTCTGTTAATACATCTGTCTTGTCTCCTAAAAAACCTTTCTGCAAACTTCCTTAGTATGGTCTAAAGATTTGTGTTCTTAAACTGTGGAACAATTCAGCCGTATCCTTCAGAAGTCATTGCTCTGGTTTTTGGATACACCAGGTTCTCTAAGCAGCCATGTAGCATGCTTTATCTTGAAGGGAAAATGAGAAATTGCTTCATTTGTTTTCTTCGTGACTACTTGAATGGAGCTGAGAAATTTAAAATCCTTGTATAATAATCAGGCTGCTGAACTTATAGTGAGTCAACAGAGACTCTAAGCCAGGTGTCCTCAGCAGTGCTGTGCTGCCTGGTGCTCAGCTCCCCTTTTTAGGCATGCTTGGGTGATGCCAGCCAGTTCTGATCAGTACCTCACTTTCAGTACTCTGCTCCAGCCTTCTTCAAACATCTCCCAGTCCCTTTTGCTCTACTTTCTGTCAGCACTTTTAGCTGCCCTGAAGCTGCCTGATCTTATCAGAGCTCAGAATCTGCCGGTGAATACAGGGTAGTGCAGTCTTCCAACAGCTAGCTCCACACTGTGTTGCTTGATAGGATGCTTTGTCTGCCCAAGGCTCTTGGCCAGGTAGAAAGCCCAGCCTTTTCTGCTTGGGTGATGATGTTAGCGCTTCTGTGTCAGTAATTGCATTCCCCAGTCTTCTGAATTACTGCACAGATAGGATTAATATTAAGAACAGCTCTGTTCTTTCATTTTAAAGGGTTGTAATGTGCCAAAGTGAAATGAGGTTTGTACCTGACTCCCTTCCTGGTGAGGCTCATTTACCTTTGACACAATTGCATAATGTATGTCCTGTAACTAATAGCTGAATTAGAAGTTAGTGTGCAGGAAAGAAATTTATCTGATGTGAGCCTTCTAGTGATGATGAATCTGGGTGATGTGCTTTTTGGGAAGTGATGAGGGCTAATAACTTGGAAGTAAATTAAGTAACTTGTGTATCTTATCTTTTTTTTCCTTTTTCTTTTTTCTAGAACCATAGAGCAGACCCAGAAGAACTATTCACAAAACTGGAACGCATTGGGAAAGGCTCCTTTGGTGAAGTCTTTAAAGGAATTGATAATCGGACACAGCAAGTGGTTGCTATAAAAATCATAGACCTTGAGGAAGCAGAAGATGAAATAGAAGATATACAGCAAGAGATAACTGTTTTAAGTCAGTGTGATAGTCCTTATGTTACAAAATACTATGGATCATATTTAAAGGTAATGTATAGTATTGAAGAAAGATATTCTAGCACCCAGTTGTTTTGAATGCTGCTCGGAAAAAATTCTAAAGTTGAGGAAGAGTTACCGTGCCAACTTGACCTTTTTTAGGAGGTTTTTGTTTTTCTTTGAACAGAGCTTTTCAGTTTGTTTTGCTCCTTTTGCTGCTTACTCTTTGAGGCTGGAATTTGCACAAAATGGCTAGAGAATGAATGGAGTTGATGGAGGAGTCCTCCTGCCATTGCTGTTGCTTTTGGACTTTGGTTTTCTCTCATCCCTCCACAATCCCTAGCACAATTCTGTGGCCTTTCTGGGGAAGAAAAAATTAGCTTCATAGCTATAGAAACAAAAACCTTTCTCTGATATGGAAAGAAACGCTGCACCATGTAGAAATGTGTTGGTAATGATGCGGCATAGTATGCCTGAGACAAAGTAAAACTGACATCAGAGTTATGTAACCATTGTGTGAAATGTTATCTGAGGCATAACTTAAAAATAAACAAACAAAAAGGAAAAACTATAGAAATCCAAAATATTGAGTAAGTCTTTTCAACCTGCAAAACTGTTCAGGTATAATCTCCTTAAATATTGCTTACATGATCTGCAGTACATACGTGTTTTAGATGATTTTTATAAAAAAAACCTAAAACCAAGCTAAAATGTTAACTATAGTTAGAGCTATCCTAAATGTCTGGGGTTTTTATTTGCTTGCATTTGGGGTTTTTTTGTTTGGTTGGGTTTGGTTTGTTTGATTGG